AGTGACACAGAGAGCACTCCCCAGTGGGTATTATAACAGATTCCATTCTCACCCCACCCATCCTTTCCGGAAGAGCCTGGGTAAATAGAAAAGCTTTCTAAGAGCGTAGAAGGCCAAAAAATGCAGCTTCTATAGACTGAGTCTGGCAGTGAAATTTGTCGTCAAGGACGTTTCACTGACGTCCTCCATCTGCCATCAATTTGGAGATGTAAAAGTCAACAGATGTCACTTCAACTGCTGTGGTGTTAGGTAATAAAGGGTGAAGGTCTTAGAAGTACGTAGGTTGCAAGTGGAGGTGCAGCAGTTTGATACAGGATGAGTGATCTCATTTCTTGGGGTGGACCACAGAGAAAATCAATCTGTAATATATGTAAAGACTTGTGGATAACAAAATTGTGTGGGAAAGAGGTTGCTGAATAGGTACAGCTGCATCTAATTGAGGTACGTGTTGGGAGGGCAGTGCTATGAATGCAAGGTGTTTTTGCAGGCAGGAGAATGGGAAGACAGACTGGCATTTACGTGAAACACGGGGGAAAGAAGAGGTAGATCTGGGCTCCCTGTTTAAGTTACAAATCTAGTATTCAAAGCTTTTGTTCTGCTTGGAAATTTTTCACATATTTCTGACACCCTTAAGGTGGAGTCAAAGCTCAGATTCACAGCTCTTCTTTCTCTTCTACAATGGAGAAGTGTGATCCAGCTTAAATTAAACATATTTTTTTCCTAATCCTGTGAAAAATTAAAAATAATTTAGATTCATCATGTTTAGCTTGCAACTCACTGAGGGCAGGTAGTGCTACAAATGATTAAGTTTCTCTTTAATCAGAACACACCCTGTGTAGAACAGGGACCACGTCTTCCCCTATCTTTATAAAATGCCTACCGTAGCAAGCTCCTGAGCTTGATCAGGAAATTTCAGTGCTGTCATAATTCAGACAATAATAATAATACAGTAGCACTGGGAATGAAACTCTAAAACCAAAGTGCCTTGGATAATGTTTGGACTGATTTGCGGTTTCAAGTGCAAACCAGTTGAAGCTGGATTTTATGAAATGGTTTCAGCCCCATAATCATGCTAGCTATTACTAAGTTTCTTACTGGCCTATAACTTTATCCAAATTCAGTGCTTGGCATAAAATTCAGAGGGTCTCTGAGTCTCTCTGAAGTTGTGAGGCAGATGGCCTCATCACCTATATCCCCATTCCAGCAGAGTAATTTTCCGCTCTAGGCTGTAGGGTCCCCACATTCAGTTTGAGGTTAATGTTTTAGACTTACTGAAATGAGTAGGAGATTTATTGTTGACTTCAACAGGTTTGGGATTTCAGTCCTGGAGGTATACAATTGTCCTGCCCACTCAAGAGGGCAGAATGTCTGTTACTTGTTATCCCTGCCTACCGTGATGGGAAATGTCCTCTCACATAGATGCGATGCTTGGTCTCCTGTACTTGTATTACGCTGCGTGGGAAGTATGATGGACCCAGCACTAATGCTTTACCAGAACGACTTACCAATAATGCATGGAAGTTACATTGCTTTTTCTCATTCAGAAACATAGAGAAGGTAACAGGAGAAGCAACCAACACTGCTATTATTTTTTTTTTTCTTTTAATTGTCATTTAGACCAAGACTGTGTTATCTTTGGTAACAAGGTGTAGTACGGTTTTCAAGTCATCTTCTTTTACTCTGAATATTTAATGAGAGGTGTAGCATATCAGAAGGCTTGGCATACTTCTTTGAGAGCACGCTGTGCCGTGCTCTCATTGCCTGAGATAGCTGGAACAGCTAACTGGAGAGGGGGACAGGCCTGCAAAGACTTTGAACAGTTATGCAGAAGGTGACAAATGGATATAAGGTTAGTTTAACTTAGTTGTGGGGTGTTTATGCATGCTGGGCAGTAAGGCTGTTCTCCAAGGGTGGAGAAATAATGCAGACTAATGTGAATCATCAGATTTCCATCTGTCTGATATACAGAGCTGCATTCGTACTTCATTATTTGTTTACTCTTGTTCTAAAGAATGTCAAAAAATGTACGCAGGTGGAAGACAAGCTCTGAAGAGCTCCCAAATTGATTTTGCTTGTGACAGGTAGATAGGGAGAGCTGTAACAGTGGGAGAAGTGAGGGTCAGTCTTTCTGAGATCTAAAAATGAACCAGTGTACAGTGGATAGCACATGAATTCATGCGTCTGCCTGTCGTTTACTTTCTATGTTAAATTAGTTGGACATCCAGGCAGCAGAGGAGAGGAGGCGGCTGCTTAGATGACTAAGGAGAAGAGAGTGATGAGCCAGCTGAGTCAAGGTGAATGAACTCAGCGCATAAAAAATTAAAGAATTGTGAGAGGAACACCGTAGTCAGAAGAGCGCATTTTTCATGGGCAGAAATGGTACTTGTCTAACTCACACCATCTTTCCTATGACTGAATTTCTCATGGAAAATCAGTGTCAGGGTGACTATGTTGAATTGTTTCATAAATGATGCTGCTGTCAGTCTGTGCACAGCATACTCATTAGTCTGTTAATTAACATTGCCAACCTGAACCTGCATTTTTCAGCCTGTGCTACTGTCAGTCTGTGGTGACTACCAAGGTCCACTCCAGCAAAGCTTGTATTGGCGAGGCAAGAAAAACAGCCTGTAAAAGTATAATCTGGAAAGTAGTGTTAAGATAATTGTAAACAAAATACGATACAGATCTATGAAATATTATTAGTTGACAATATGACTATTTCCAGATTATTGGGGATGTTTCATGCATCTGTGCTGGTGAAAAGAATTGAATACTTAAAGGTGGTCCTTATGGGTGGAGCCCATATCTAGTGTACTTGCTCGCTGTAGGAAACCACTGTGGTATGCAGTAAGGCAGTGGATATGCTTAAAAGGATATTGAGAGAGATTTTCAGATTTCTTAACAGATGATATGTGTGATAAGTTTCCCAGGACAGGAAATACATCTCTGTTTTCATTTGTCTTATTTAATGGGTGTCAATTGGTGGCAGTTTTTTGCTTAGGCTAATTTTTTCTTTCCCTTTTTAGTTTTCTGAGCAACGGGTGGTTTTAAAAAGGCATTTTAAAGAGGCTTTTAAAAGCGGTTGTTCTCCTTGCTTGTAGGAGTGTTCTGTGTGGGTAGAGAGCGCAGGATAAACTACTTCATCCTCCTGTGGTCTCACTGTAAAGACAAATCCTGAGCCATAGGCACTGGGCATTGACTCAGTCATGGCCATTATCCAGCTGCCACAGGCCAAAAGCAGCATACCCTCTCCCTGAGCCCCTACATTTGGAGTTCAGAGCTAAAAAGATCATAGGCTTCTTGCAGCCAGAACATCTTACTGATGAGTGGGCTTTCTATCATCAGTTTGCTAATGCAGTTTTATTCCAGAAAGAGTCTTTTTCTTCTGCAAATTAAAGACCTCATTGGTTTATTATTGTATTCATATGCTTTCTGTTCTAGACTTAAATGAAATGTTGATCCCCCTTTCAATTGCCTACAAATGACAGGAAGTGTTTTTCCTTGCATTCCTTATGTCACCTCTAGTGATTTTAATCCTTCTCCTTGCTTTCTTCCTCTTCCCCCTACTGTGATCCTTCATGGCCATGCTGCTCATGGTTTTCACCCTGTTTGAGAGGAGCTGTTTCTACAAAGAAAAGGTTGCAAGCTCTTGAAGTGGAGCATGAAAATATCAAATCAAATCCTTCAGGCACTGAGGCCAAGAAAAGTTGCATGGGATGAAAATACTGTTCCAGGTCTGGCAAGTGGCTCAGCCGTGTTGGCTTTTTAATTTCCATTTTTCAATTTTTAAAGGAAAATTGGGATAGTTGAATCTCT